TAAGGTCCGCCAGACCCCCCAGAGAGGGTCCCAAAATTTGGGCTTGGTTAAACATTGGAGGTACCACACTGGGGGGTCGCGCCTTCAGATTATAACAATTGCAATACAAACCAGGGGGGTCCAAGAAACAGGTTCTCATGACCTGCAAGTATGATCATGTTAATTCTAGTTCAAGTGGGAAATCACGCCATTAAGATAGTTACAATGCCAATACAAACCAGGGTGTGTCAAAGGAAGGTTTCTCACGACCTTCATGTATGATCATGTTTATTCAGTTCAAAGTGTTTTATGATTTGATAAATGCTTCAAGTTATATTGTGATTATAACGTCAGTAGCACTATTATTAAGATTTCATATTTGCATTCAGAGGTTGGCAGAAATAAAAGGCTAGGTGTGGTTTGGAAAGGGCTTTTCTTTTAACAAAAGAATTCACATTTGCTTGAAAACACAGCTCTATGGTAACAATTATATGGGAATTTATACAAAATTCAGTCCATCGTGACAGATCAACAATTGCTTGTTTAGAATTTTGTGTTGTGGAAAACACCCTGAATGGATCAGGTTAATGCAACCTTTCTTGGCATTTTACCGGGAGGTAAGAAAAGTTTTCCCGGGAAGCTTGATGTCGATTTCTCGAGGGAAGTGACGTGCTCGTCACACACCTCAGAAAAAAAGAAGTTAAATTTATTGTGTATGGCTTTCCCTTCTTTATTGAGGGTATTCAAAAACAGAAGAAGTCTAAACACATTTAACCGTGGCACAGCTCACGCGGCAATATCATGACTCTCTGTCTAGTGTAAGACGTTTATTCAAACAGATAGATGGCAAATCTGAGACGTAAGGCCTTGTGAACATTTAGATATATAGTGGAGGTTTCATAACAGATATTTGAGTATTGAAATCAAAACCATGTCACATTATGAACATACATTTACATTTAACAACAAGAACAAAATCATAAAACATGATGGGTAATTACATTTCACAGTTGGTGGTGCGATAGTTTTGACGAGGTGAATATCAGTAACGGCCCTTCTCTTTTGAACAGAAAAATATTTTTGTATCCAACCGTGACACTCCGAGAAAAGTTGTGAAGATCAGGACGAAAATACATCAAGAATAGAACATTCATCTTTTCGTGTCACCAAACCCTGTTCATCTCTTTCCGTGACCTGACAAACTTGATATTTTCACACAGGTCTGTGCCACGATTTTGTTAGGTTTCTCGATACGATAAACTTTTCGGGACCGACCATAAATATGGAAATATTTGGCCGGAATTCAGCTTTTTAGATGATAAAACTTGCTAAATAAACGGAGATCATAGGTTTTTAAACACAATTATCACCAAAAGATTTCCAAATGGTATTAGGGACTGTCATTTACCATTCTTATAGCAGGCTTTGAGGACTACCTTAGCATGTTTCGGTTTGTAGGAATCCATAGCCAAGCTATCAGGCTATAGCAGGCTTTGAGGACTTCATAGCTGATCAGATATATATTCACAAGAATCAGATTCATGCCTTTTTTTTATTACATTTCAACGATAGGCCTAATCTATGATATCAATACTAGTATTCAGAGACCTGATTTTATAAATACGTGATTTTAATCTCAATAAAATCCTTCCATCTTTAAGAACAAAACATAAATTTGACCATCTGTTGACTCTCAGAGCTTATGTCCAATGTTTCATTATGCACACTGGGATTACAGAGGGTCAACTGTGTGGGGTGGGGTGAGGGTCTGTCTAGCGGGCCTTATGCAGAAGAGGATTTGTTTGGCAATGGGTATTTTGTAATAAGTAGAGTGTAATAGTTCATTTTATGTTGGTTCCATGTGATACCTCCAATGTTTAAGCCTTATGCAGAGGAAGATTTATCTGGTGTGGCCCATTCTGTACGCTGTGATATGAACCTGTTCATTCAAACGTACCTTAATGTGGTACAATCGATATATATTCCAGACCAATTTTACCCGTGTATACCTGAAGGGTCAACTTTTTGTGGGTGTCTGGCGGGCCTTATGCAGAAGAGGATTTGTCTGGCAATGGGTATTGTGCAATAAGTAGAGTGCAATTGTTCATTTTATGTTGGTTTCATGTGGTACCTCCAATGTTTAACCAAGCCCAAATTTTGGGACCCTCTCTGTGGGGTCTGGCGGACCTTATGCAGAGGACAATTTGTCAGGTATGGGCCGTGTTGTACTCAGTAACATGTACCTGTTGATCTAAACTTACTTTCATCTGGTACTTTGAATGTATACTCTGGTCAAATTTTACCAGAGTGTCCACTGAGTGCATTAAGGGTCAACATTTGGGGGTGTCTGGCGGGCCTTATGCAGCAGACGATTTGTCGGGCAATGGGGTTTTTATTCTTAGTAGAGTGAAATAGTTCATTTTATGTTGATTTCATGTGGTACCTCCAATGTTTAACCCAGCCCAAATTTTGGGACCCTCTTTGGGGGTGTCTGGCAGGCCTTTTGCAGAGGAAGATTGTCTGGCGTGGCCCATTCTGTACTCTGTGAGATGTAACAGTTCATTTACACTTACTTTCATGTGGTACCTCCAATGTTTGATCCAGCCCTTGAATGGCCCCTTCTTTTGGGGGGCCAGGGGCCACACGCAGCAGGGGCTCCCCGGCAGACATCTATATATGAATATGTTGGGTTACACAGTAAATGTTCCTGTGTTCGGATATTGGTACCTTGTTCGTTTGACCAAAGTGCTCTGGGCTGCCGCTCTATATCCTCGGCCCTCTCGGGCTCTCTTCCTGTTGCATTACAAAATGGCCGCACCGGATGTAAACAAGGCATGGCTCCGTCGTCTGCTTCATGTTTACCTTAACACAGTTTGGCCTACTATACATTAATGTCATCCTATCCTATATGTCTGTAAAATAATAGTTACATATACTTGTGAAAATATACAACTTAATTCATCAGGCCATTCTATATCAGTGTACAACCCAACTTGGCTATTTCCTGCAAATGGTAACTTTCTTGTTCTCTTGGCGTCTGGCGTTACACAATCCCGAATGATGACAACAACCTTAGCATTGACCAACATCTAAATATGTAAATAACCCATTTGACTAAATATCAATCCAGTCCTTTTAAATATGTAGTATTTCTACATTGTCGGATTGGTGGTATAAATTATATTTCACTGTGTTTTCCCACATAATTTGATAGTGAAGTCACCTTGTATTCAATAATAATATAATGTATTATATTATATGACCAGTAATTTGTCTGCTTTGAGTAATATAAATTATGCAATATCCATTTATTACATTCCTTTTAATATACTTGCTAAAAGTGGGCATTCTTTCTGGGTAGCCTGGGTAGTGGTATACCTACTGGGTATATTGACCTACTGTTGGAGCTAGCCCCATATGGACTAGTACGATCAACCAACAGGCAGTCAAACCCCACTCCTCTCAGCTACCGTTCTAGTACAGGCCAGGTATCCTGTCGTGGTTATCATTATTGCGTTTAAAACCGGTTTTATATACACATATATAATACTCCAAATGTGCTGGGGATAAATATCCCCTCATTTTGGATTTTAATGTATGTTCCATAATCCCCATTGGCCATCGTTGAAGTGACTTTCACCTCACGTCAGGTGGGATCTTATATGTATCCTAAATGGTAGTCTCGATTATTTACCGACCGCCTTCATATAGCTGGAATATTCCTGACTGCGGCGTTAAACAACAAACAAACAAACAAACAAACAACAAGCCAAACGCACCAAGCCACATGGGCGCAATCAATACGTACATAATGTACTCGAGTACATCAATCGAGTTGTCCAGAATATATATTGAATTTTGTTCCAAATAAGAGTACGCTCGTTAATAATGCCTCAAGGACATTACAAAACACAGTCAACACCTGTTACCGTCATACCACAGCGGGACACGTGGTGGCAGTAACCTGGTCCACAGCGGCATGCATGGTATGGTCTCTTGAAATAGAATATTTGAAATGAATATTCATAAATTAGTGTAACAGGCATACTGTCTATCATGTTCGAGCCTCGATGTCAAAGATTGGCTTTGCTTGCGAAATACTCTGTGTTGCCGAGGATGGACATACAGTAAAGTACGGTTATAACGAACTCAAGGGGACTGCTAATTATAGTTCGTTATAACCGTAGTTCGTTATAAGCATATATACAGCATAACTACAGCAAATAGTCGGGACCAAATAAGTAAGTTCGTTATATCCGTCAGTTCGTTATAAGCGTGTTCGTTATAACCGTAGTTTACTGTACTGAAGTCGAGACAATCTATTGAGGATGAGATATTTTTTTCATGCAGATGGAGGTTGAGTCTTTTATTTAATTATGGTATGTGGGCTCTTTCACACACACACACACACACACACACACACACACACAGACACACAGACACACACACACACACACACACACACACACACACACGACCATAATGTTTGTTAACCCAGTTTAATGTAAACAGGGATGCACGAAAGGCAAGCATTAGTGGAGAAACCCCCCATGCATGGTTGGACAACCCAGGCATAGTGAAGCTCTAAAACCATAGACGCCCCGGGTTGTAAGTGTTATAACCCTTTATTCACGAGGCTACCCTCCCACCCTCTACTATCTGTAGGTTACAAGTATGTGTGCTGAGGGGAAAAATAGTATACAGTTATAAATGTTTCTAAACTATACATGTAATTTACAATAAAACCCGAATTAACTATAATTAGCAGAAATGAACGCGAAATAATCATGAAGTTAGTCGTACAGAACCTGAAACAAATATATGCAATACAGCCCATCCAAGTCTAACATATTTGGCAAGTCTAGATTACTGCAGTACCTGAAAATGAAGATAGTCTCTTAGCTCCTTTTTATTATATTTTATAGAACTATAATTTAACAACTGGATTTTTTTTAAATAAATATATATATATACATATATCTTATTTCAGAGATTAGATGTAAGTCTACCCACAAACCATAACTCACTACGGTTTAGCCAAGTCGGCCTGGCGCTTCCCGTCAAATCGCTCAGTGTGCGAGGGGTTCAACGATGCAGCCCGCGAGAATGAATGCGGTCGACAACAGCGCGGGACCACGAAGACACAGCTTTGGTAAAGACTGGCCGATTCACTACTACAGGTGATGGACACGCAGCCGGAAAGGCTGTGGATGTTTGACTGAACGGTGCAACGGGCGAAAATGCCCGTTTGGGACGGTTTATTGGACAACATGGCGAAATTATCACTTGTGTTTCCCCGGTAAGACATCTTCTGTTCCTTGTGTGTTGTTGAAGTCTAATTTATACCCCAGTACCATCACAATTGATATATTTCCCTATCCGGACCATACAAGATAAAAAAGTGTGACCCGGACAAGCGAAATTCCTCAAATGTTGCCATAGTAACCGCCACCCATAGACGTGTTGCAACCGAGGATTTATCATCTCGCGAAAAAGTATTCTGGGCGAGAAAATAAGCCTCGCTGAAACAATTTCACTGCGGCGGATGTCTGAACTCGAACTCGCCTAATATTAAAGAGTGTGTATTACAATGCTAGTGTTCGAAGTTCGAAGGCCCCTGAATAGGATAGGAGGAAAGGCAATTTACAAGTGAGAGTGCAACACGGTCGGACCACACTGTGTCGGTGCCAGGGTCGACATATTGGAGGACTTTGCTTCCAGTCAAAACAATCATGTCTATTTTTAGGTTCTCGCCCCCACTGCCCATGCACCCCCGATCTCTCTGTTAGGAAACTAAATACACAAATGCAGAAGCCGAACCTTTCAAACATTAGCTTAATTAAAAGCGACAAAACTAGTGCCGCCATCACGGGAAATCTTTACCGAATCCAGTGTACGTCCGACTACTTGTGTAGTACAAGCAATTGAATCACAACCAAATAATGATTCAGGGTTTTGCTTTGGCTTACAAAACTAGGAGTCCAGGTGTCCCCATTTATTAATTTCAAGTATCTTTACAGGACATGAAATATTTTATATTTTTATTTTTTTATTTCTAAAATTATTATCTTCTTTTTTTTTATATACTTCGTACATAGTTAAACAATACAGCTTCCTACATGGCTGAATCCTATGTTTACAGTCGGTGGCAAAGGGTGTTATGTAAATGTTATGTATAATATGTGAAAATCAATGTTGAACCTGACTTAATTTATGTGGAGACCAAAGACTCGATTGGATTATAATGTACAGTTGCATATACACTTATTAGGTTCCTACTGACATCATCCTATGCTCATTCCACGTGCATAACAGACCCGTGAAGATCCGGGGTAGAATAGTCTTCAGCAACCCATGCTTGCCGTAAAAGGTGACTATGCTTGTCGTAAAAGGCGACTAACGGGACCGGGTGGTCAGGCACGCTGACTAGGTTGATGCATGTCATCCTATCCCGATTGCGTGGATCGATGCTCATGATGGCAATCACTTGTTTGTCTGGCCCAGATTCGATTATTTACAGTCCGCCGTCATATAGCTGGAATATTGCTGAGTGTGGCGTTAAACAACAAACAAACATTTTCTCATGTAAGTAATTTTGCACATGTGTAACTATACATACGTGTGTTCATGTACATTTACTATGCGTTCACGGGGAAATTAACTTAAGTGTGTAAATATGGTATGTAAATTGTTGAAGGCACACATATTCATCAGTCTGTTCACGACATGAAAAGGTTGTTGTCCAATCCAAGTCGAATGAGAAAATAAGCTTCGCATGAAGCAACATGTGGGTCATTCAATATGTGCACAGATGTTTTTATCATGGAAACCCCGTCCGCCCAGCTCTTTATGTCCGGATAAAAGTTGGTATTGCTGTATACTGAATAGCGTAAACTTCAGAATACAGAACTGTTGACAATTAATTTGTTTGGTGTTTACAAATCAACAGATAAATTAATTAGGTCAACGTGACAACATATACACACCGTGCAAATTTACATTTACATATGCGCCTGCTCCACACATGATGCAAATTTGCTCCTGGTGTAAATATAAACACATGAGTAATCGCGTTCACATGACTAGTATACCCACGTATGTATATTTACAATCGATGCAAATATAAACACATATGTATAGAGGTGCATGTGAACAAGGTACTAGAGTATATAGTCCAAGAAAAAAATATTTATAGATAATTAAATAGTTTACAGTCGAACACCGTTGATTCGAAGATGAAGGACCTACGTTATTTCTTCGAGTTATCCGAGGTTCGACACAACCGAAAATAATAAAGAAATAAGGCATACACAGGGAGCAAGCTTTTACTTCGAGACAACCAAAGTTCGACACAACGGTGACTGTATGTATCTACAACATGGAAAGTAAAATCAAAATGGATGTCAGAACAATGCTAAATTTCCAGAGATGAGGTAATCTAGACTTGCCAAATATTAGCTATGCACTCCTATTATATATGTCACTGTCGCTATCAGCATTTAGGTTGGAATGAGATTTATTTATAGTTAGGTATAAGGTCGTGCGTTGCAGCGTTGTCACCGTTACTTCGTTGTGATGTGTCGTTGCTTTACAATTACGCAGATCGCTCATAGATCAATATATCGTTTCATGGGTTATCACAAGCAGATCTGGTTTGTGACAACAAGTGTTGGGACAGCTGTTATTGGGGATGGCGCGGTTGTAGAAGCGCAGGCTAACCTCGCAGTCTCCATAGCAACAGAGGATTCTATCAGCATACGATCCTTATGTACACATGGTCAACCACACCACGGTGTACCACGGTCGTGTTTAAAGGGACATTCACACGGTACAACTAGTTGGTGCTACCTGTTTGATGAAATTAGTTGTACGAACTGAAGTTGTGTTTCATGTGGGACAACGCCCGTGTCGTCATGATTGTTTACATTTGTAGGTGACAATATCACGTGATTATTATACACGTTCTTTCTGGTTGCGTGCTTACAACTTGTAGCATTTCAAATAGAGCATGTCCTTTTCCCTACAAGTCAGGTCAAGCAAGTTGCATACGTCAAACGTTGGCCCGACTTGAATGTGCTAGTTGTACCGTGTTAATGCAGGGATGTGCTATCACTCTCACAGGAAATGGATCACCGCTGATGTACCCATTAAATGTATTTAGGGTATATTCATAACATAATGTGTATAAGACTAAATAATGGCATGTCCTTTTCCCTACAAGTCAGGTCAAGCAAGTTGCATACGTCAAACGTTGGCCCGACTTGAATGTGCTAGTTGTACCGTGTTAATGCAGGGATGTGCTATCACTCTCACAGGAAATGGATCACCGCTGATGTACCCATTAAATGTATTTAGGGTATATTCATAACATAATGTGTATAAGACTAAATAATGGCATGTCCTTTTCCCTACAAGTCAGGTCAAGCAAGTTGCATACGTCAAACGTTGGCCCGACTTGAATGTGCTAGTTGTACCGTGTTAATGCAGGGATGTGCTATCACTCTCACAGGAAATGGATCACCGCTGATGTACCCATTAAATGTATTTAGGGTATATTCATAACATAATGTGTATAAGACTAAATAATGGCATGTCCTTTTCCCTACAAGTCAGGTCAAGCAAGTTGCATACGTCAAACGTTGGCCCGACTTGAATGTGCTAGTTGTACCGTGTTAATGCAGGGATGTGCTATCACTATCACAGGAAATGGATCACCGCTGATGTACCCATTAAATGTATTTAGGGTATATTAATAACATAATGTGTATAAGACTAAATAATGGCATGTCCTTTTCCCTACAAGTCAGGTCAAGCAAGTTGCATACGTCAAACGTTGGCCCGACTTGAATGTGCTAGTTGTACGGTGTTAATGCAGGGATGTGCTATCACTCTCACAGGAAATGGATCACCGCTGATGTACCCATTAAATGTATTTAGGGTATATTCATAACATAATGTGTATAAGACTAAATAATGGCATGTCCTTTTCCCTACAAGTCAGGTCAAGCAAGTTGCATACGTCAAACGTTGGCCCGACTTGAATGTGCTAGTTGTACCGTGTTAATGCAGGGATGTGCTATCACTCTCACAGGAAATGGATCACCGCTGATGTACCCATTAAATGTATTTAGGGTATATTCATAACATAATGTGTATAAGACTAAATAATGGCATGTCCTTTTCCCTACAAGTCAGGTCAAGCAAGTTGCATACGTCAAACGTTGGCCCGACTTGAATGTGCTAGTTGTACGGTGTTAATGCAGGGATGTGCTATCACTCTCACAGGAAATGGATCACCGCTGATGTACCCATTAAATGTATTTAGGGTATATTCATAACGTGTATAAGACTAAATAATGGCATGTCCTTTTCCCTACAAGTCAGGTCAAGCAAGTTGCATACGTCAAACGTTGGCCCGACTTGAATGTGCTAGTTGTACGGTGTTAATGCAGGGATGTGCTATCACTCTCACAGGAAATGGATCACCGCTGATTTGTATTTAGGGTATATTCATAATGTGTATAAGACTAAATAATGGCATCTTTCATAGCGGCAGCTGCTGTACCCGCTCTATTAACACTTTCAAATTTCTAACATGAGTTTCATTTGTGGTTGATAAAAGATCTATAAATTTATAAAAGGTTAGCTCAACTTGGTGATATTGAAGGATTAGTTTTTCTCTGCTTTTTATAACGTGAACAGAAAGTGGTACTCATTTTCTGTTTTGGTAAGGTTGCACTTTGTACATATATTAAATTATTCTTCTGGAGTAGTATTGTGTCGTCATTTCTGAACATTCAATTTATGAGATAAACATAAACATTTACATAAAGTTGTGAGGAGATCTCTATCATGGACTAAATTAGATATCTATCTCTCTGGTACGAATAGTTATTTGTAAGACGAATGCTAGTATACATGCTGTTAAGAATATTTTTTTATTATTAGAATGCCAGGTTAAAAATTCGCTACCTTTGCATCCTTGTTTAAATAATGCCATGAAACAAATGAGAAATCCATGAATATGAAAACCAGTGTGATCATCAAATGTTTTTCGTAAAAAAATACGTCGTAATCCAAGTCTCATCATTTCATGAAGAAATTTAGTAATGAAAATAATAAAAAGAATTTCCCACGCTGCGATTTTTTTTTTCTAATATGAAAATGTAATTCCATATGATGTCAGAAGGGGCATGTAATTGTTAATGGGTGAGTCGGGTGTTATCCTGTTGTACTATTCCAGCAATAATACAATCATTCTGTGCGTTAATCGAATCAAAAGTTGTTAGGGATTCGTGGATTTGTAAGCGCGAACTTCGTTTCTTAAATTACTACAATGAGTGAGTGAGTGAGTATGGTTTTACGCCGCTTTTAGCAATATTCCAGCAATATCACGGCGGGGGATACCAGAAATGGGCTTCACACATTGTACCCACCCGGGTCATCGGCGTGACGAGCGAACGCTTTAACCACTAGGCTACCCGACCGCCCCTACTACAATGAAAGGGCTCATGATAGTTTATATAGATATTAAATGTCAACGCCAGAGAATAACCCGTCTAGACGATCCGCAGATTCCATTGAGCACAGAAAGGAAAATATCGATAAAATTTGAATGGTTTACTAAAAAGCAGTAGGTGTTCGCAAAAGGGGTAAGCATGTCTTGCCCCACCTGTAGCTAAAATGCTGAACGCGACGTTAAGCCGCCCTATCGTGTATGCACGGTGTGCTTTACGTAGTTTTGCTTTGTAACAGTTCTTCATTTTACCGCCACACATAGCCAAATCCATACTGTAAAAGTAAATTTCGATTTAGTTGCCCATGTAATTTATGTCCATTGTCATCGACATAGCCTGGCATAATGTAGCGTGTGGTGACATGTGGAGCTGGACTCGAATCCAATATATCATGCCTCGTGTCGTGAAACATGTTGCAAGGGATATCAGTCACATTCAACCAGAATATTATATCATGTTCTTCCAATAGCATAGAGGTGGAGGTATCAATTAATCAAATATGTCATGAACAACTGTTCTTTGAAAACCATTTACATGTCATTCGTAACCCAGTTGCGTGATATTTACCGATCGCAGTCATATAGCTGGAATACTGCTGAGAAAATATTTACAGGCAAAACCGCCTTTCTTCTTTGTGCACCTCAAACCGTTTGAGGTCTAGTCAATGGACGTTTAAGGTAAACAAACACTAGTCATTGATATCTAAGAATGAGACAGTATATCATGTTCAACTTAAAGATACCATTTCTCATAACAGTGTAGTGGGCCATCATGCAATTACTTCGGGGTATTTTTCTGATATATCTTCATATCTGTGTTGAGGGCATTTTTTATTATATACGGTACGTGTCAGAGAGAGCAGAATACAATGTGCAAAACAATTAAAGACAGGTATGATCAATTTTCTCTTACCACCCTCACTTTCTATGAGAGTACAGGCCTGGTTGATAAAGATGATAAACATATCGGGACGTAAAAGGCAACCTTGACGGCAACCAGTATCACATGAAACGTTATTATATTTTAGAGGTTCTTAAACAGGCACAGCGTACATAGATGTGAAAATATTTCATAAACTTCAACCTAACTCAGCTTTTGGCAAAGAGTACATCACATCTTAGAATGTTTAAGCCTTAGAAAATCTGTAAGGGGACAATAGAATCTACCCTTATTTATGTAAATGGAAAATTGCGGCGTTAAACATCCAAAAAACAAACTCCGAACCTACCTGTCCCTGTTTTAACCCCTAAATGCCGAGCGTCAGGCAGGGAAACAAGAAGTATCATCTTTTAACGTCTTTTGGTATGACACGGCCGTGGATCGAACCCCGGACCGTTCGCTCTCCGGGCGGATACTCTACTACTAGATCCACCTGTGAAGATCAGGGTTAGAATTGGTCTTCAGAAACCCATGCTTGTCGTGTGTTCGGATCATGTGGTCAGGCTCGCGGACTTGGTTGATGCATGTCATCGTATCCCGGGTGCGTAGATCGATGCTCATGGTGTCAATCACTGGATTGTCTGGCCCAGACTCGCTTATTTACAGACCGCCGTCATATAGCTGGAAAATTGCTGAGTACGGCGTCAAACCGCAAAGCATGCTTTTTGCAAGATATAGTGTTTCTTTTCTATATTATAGTGAATTCGACGGGTGAGTGGACCATTTGTTCAAATGATGAAGAAATATAACCTACCTTAGTTTTACAATGTGAATAAAAACCATAAGAAATGAGGCGTCCAACTACAAACAAACCACTTGACCACTGAAGCGTATTCACTAGTGATGAACTTGTAGACACAAGCTGTAAAGTATTGACGACGGGACACCCCACGGGGAAATACTACTGCTTCTGAAGGGTACGTTTTATTAGATAGTTAAGGGTGAAAGACTGAGTTTCCGAAGTTGAGAAAAGGGATATTTTCACTGCAGTGAATATAACAAATGATGTTTAACTGCAGCGAACATAACACTTGATATTTCACTGCCGTGAACATAACACTTTGACGGAACTTTAGTCATACAAGAGTGTCCTCCCGTCAAATTGTCTCCCTTTATCGTGTCTAACACGTTCCCAAATTTCTGACTTCCTTTTTACCTTAGTTCCACATTGACAAGGCAAAATAATGACAGATGGTCATTTATGGAGTTAATAAATCCACGGTGAATCGAGACCGTTCGTTCGCAAAGCGCCAGTTTTATTACTTGACCAGTGTGTATTCTTTCGCTTCCAACAGCGGTCTCGATGTTTTCAAGAATATTTATTGTTAAAGTTGATTTTGTATATAAACATATCTACATGTATGAGATATATGATAATTTTTGTTACTTTTGTTTATAGTTTTTATAGTTTTCAAACACAAGACTACTTCTTCAGTCGCAAATACAAGGGGTGGTGACCCGTCCCTGTGTGTTAAGTAGGGAGAATTTACGTTTCAAGGTTTTACATTTGAAATGAAATATTTTAATTTACCGGGAGACAACTACGCTTAAGGTATATGATAAATAGGATATGCCATGTGTCGACTGAAATATCATGTTTCTCTCATCTCGTGACGGGGGAAGAGTAATATATATATATATATATATAGAGAGAGAGAGAGAGAGAGAGAGAGAGAGAGCTACATGATATTTCACTCGACATAAAATCACCATGTTTCTATGTTCCAGATGGCGCCGACTGCGGCTGTGTATATGCGTGTCCATCCTTTCTGTCATTGGTTTCCTGGTGTCCATGAGTTCTAAACCCAAGGATGACCCCTGCACCAACAGAGATTGTCCTATCAGAGAATTCGGAGACACGGGCAAAACTATATTATGGTATTTTGTCCCGAGGTATGTACTGGACAGTCCCGAACGGGTTCCACTGAGAAGGTGTCCTGAACTCGGATGCTATGTTACGACCAATAGGCGATATCTCCCCCATGCCCACGCGGTTCTTTTGTCCGCACAACAAATATTAGGGAACGACCAGCCAGTTCGATACCGTGATCAGGTCTGGGTGTACCATAACAATGAACCAATGTACCTGTTTTATGAGAACCTAATTGAAGAGTTTCGGCGACCGCAATGGAGGTCAGCATTCAACTGGACAATGGATTTCCGGCATGATTCCGATCTTCAAAGACCCTATTCACAGCTAAGAACTCGCAGTTCTACGGTGAATCGGGATTATTCCACAATTGTGCAGAAGAAAACAAAGCTCGTTGCTTGGGCGGTTAGCAATTGCATTGACGTATCAGGACGTTTATCCTACGCGCATGAACTTCAGAAATATATTCCAGTGGATATCTACGGTCGCTGTGGCAGTGGAGCATTCTCTAGGTCGACTCCGGAGGAGTGGAACGACTACCTGAATAGCACGTATAAGTTCTATCTTTCTTTCGAGAGCTCCTTTTGTAAGGACTACATCAGCGAGAAGTTCTTCAACAACTACAACCTTGACCTTGTGACTGTTGCCCGAGGGGGAGGCAACTACACCCGTGACGTTCCTCGCGGCACCTACATCAACACTGCCGACTTCAAATCTCCCAAAGAGCTGGCAGACCATCTCCTGTACCTCCACAACAACCACGACAAGTACATCGAGATCCTGAAGAGGAAACAAAGATACTACTATACAACGGAAGCCTACTATTTTACAACCCAAACTGACATTTTACATCCATTTTCGGAACGTTATGTGGAACACTATTATGAAGAGGAACCTATGTGTCAATTGTGTTCAAGACTCCATAATCTGTCTGGTTATTCTAAAACCATTCCAGACATTGTGCCTTGGATTAAGTTGAGCAAATGCTCTTCCGCAGGAGATTTGCCTGTAACGTATTTTTTATATGTGCTTAGTTTTGTTTTAACGTTAACTATTATGACTGGTATACGTTAACTGTTATACATATTCTAAATGTATTTATTTTTTAATCATCGCTATGTGGCTGCGATATTGCCAATCCGATGTAAAACTTTAACTCACTCACTGTGTTTAAGTATTGAAGGGGCAGGATAAAGGTATGTGGGGAATTCTATACCATCCCTATGGCCAAGGTTCTGTTCACATATTGGCATCAAGTGTTTATGTGTACATCGAACATCACGCCTAATGTTCTAAGACGACCAAATGATAGCGCATTAAGGACAAGACTTCATCACAGAAACTCGCTGAAAAAATATGTGTAAATAGTCTCGGTCACAGTAAGGGACCGACAATTTGATATTCTGGGGATGGGGGTGGGGTTGCTGATGGGATTTTCTATCGAGATTAAATGTTATTTTAGCTACAGCATCAAATCAAGATATTTTTAATTGACTATTGTTAGCCTAAATTTTGTTAAAAACATCCTCCTATAATATCATTTTGTGGCAGGCAATTTCTTTTTTTAACAGTCTCTAGCATGGCTATCTTTTTAAAGGATCTACGGTACAAAATGTTTTCGATAGCATCCCAGCCACCACGCATATATTTTTCTACCTACCACCTCCACGTTGTAGTGGATAGAACTGCCCGAGAGCGGAAGGTCGGCGGTTCGATCCCCGGCCGCGTCATACTAAAAGACGTTAAAAGAAAGTGCTTTTTGTTACCCTGGCTGGCGCTCGGCATTAGGAGGATAAAACAATTACTAGCTCGGTGTCAATATAATGTCTAAGTGGGCTATCCGTGTTAAACTGCGGCATCGTAACTTAGTTGACTTGCACTGTTAACCGGCAAACGTCATGGCGCGTTTCACCACAACTCACCATTGTGCTTTTTACTATTGTCCGATTTGCTCCATTGTGCCTTGTTTTTTTGCCGCACTCAGCAAGAGTCCAGCTGTTTGATGGTAGTCTGTAAATATTCGAGTCTGGAGCAGACAATCTAGTGATTGACATCACGAGGTGTATGACGTCATTATTTGTATGTAGCTGCACGTTGGAAAATAAGGAAAATACGTACACAGATATTTTCCAAATCTTTTCACGCTTTTGATCAAGGGGCTCGCGTGATTTGATGAACTTCGCGAAGGAAGACCCGTTTTATTACAATATAGATCCGTATTATCGATCAAATCGTCCTCTCAGAGTGACGCCATGTTATATGAAGCAAATGCAAATGATATGAGATTGGCCAATAGGAGGGAGATAGAAGGGACATAACCCGTAATAGCCACTGGTAGCTCTAGGATCGAGGCCAGAAAGTCCAGCCTTGTTCGGCAAGGGTGGAAACTGGGCAGTGAGTACTATGCCTCGGAATCTGGCACCAGCTGGTAGATGCTCTATTTTTATATGTTTGTTTGTTGTTTAACGCCGCACTCAACAATAGTCCAGCTATATAACGGCGGTCAGTAAATAATCGAGTCTGGGCCAGACGATCCAGTGATTGATATCATGGGCATCGGTCTACGCAATTGGGATACGCATCAACCTAGACAGCGAGCCTGATCAACCGATCCCGTTAGTCGCCGTTACGACAAGCATGGTTTGCTGAAGACCAATTCTAACGCGGATCTTAATGGGTCAGTTGCTCTAGTCACTGCATTCTGATACTGAGTGTACATTCCCTTTGCATGGATTTTACATGTCATATACACCACACGAAAGGACAGTGTTTCCCAAATTTATGTATGTTAGGAAATGAACGTGTCATAAGAGGTCCATATCACCAACGTTTGAAATGTACGTATCATTTGGCCGCTAAATTTGCATTCATTACGCAGGTCATGACATTCGTGACCAACTCGTGTTATTCCGGGACAAGCCAATAGCGACTCGTGCCGCTCTCATGGACATTTTTGCGACCGGGTTCCGTATTTGAATCCGAACTGAATATTTTTAGCCACTGAAACTAGCGTCCAGGTGGTTTATTGTGTAGTAATTTATGACTGAGTTCAAATTGTTTCATTACCAGTAGAGCCTTATCATCTTCCTATTCCTAGAAGATGTCTAATTGTGACAACGTGGTAAAAGTGTTTAATCTTATCGATAACTTGAATAAGCATTTTGACGCCTAAATATGTACAAAAATACAATATTCAGATAATTAAGTGTATTTAATATCTAATTTTGTTTGGGTTTGGCGATATTGTCAAATAAGAAAGTGTGATTGATCACTTACTGACTTAAATGGTTTCATTACGATCGACATTTCTTTTCTGACATACTTCATTTTATTGCACTGATTAAATTTCCCAAACACCCAAGAATGCGTTTGATATGACGATTGTTAGATTAGAAGATGTTCTGTAGCCGTACTTGCGCTGTGTTGACGCGCGGAAGGGACGGGTCAAATAAACATTGACGCTATTATGTTCCACAAGTCTTTGAAAGGCATTTAGAAGTGATACACATAAAGAAGAGAATTTTTGGATGACAACTTCTTGATTATGAGGAACTTAACGTTTCGGAGTATATGCTTACTCCTTCATCAGGTGAATGATGAAGGAGTAAGTATATACTCCGAAACGTTGTGTTCCTCGTAATAAAGAAGTTGACATCCATTAATTCTCTACCCTTATATATTACACAGTTTTCATAAACATGTCTATGTTTAAAACAGTGAGATCCTGACATGTGCCATATAAAGCATATCGTGTTTAGTTAAAACATACAAAGTCTCTGTTCCTTTTGGGACTTAAAATATAAATCTTAAACACCTGTTTTACACATTAACACCGTTTTACAGTGTATAAATTTGGTAATTATATTTGCTTATTATTATGATGGTGGTTAAATATTGATATGAGAAGAAATCTTATTGATTCTATAGAATATTTAATATTTATATTCTGTACATTTTGTAGTGCTATAGATGATATTAACATTGTCTAACGAGATGAGACCAATGAAATATAAAGAATAGTTAACACCTAACACTTCTTTGTTATGTATTGGCGCATGGGTCATTCCATTATTCGTCTAAAGTTACGTCTGTTGTTTTAAGGTGTCTAATAACGGGCTGTCTAACAAATGGGAGCTACCGTAATACATGACACTTAACAATTCAGTATTGCATTAGATAGCAAAGCAAAATACAATGCCGTTTATCTATACCAGATTGAAGGTGATAGGAATAATTATACAGTTAATATGAATGTGAAGGGTATTATGTTCAAGCGGATTCTGTACATGCGTGTAGGGGCGGTCGGGTAGCCTAGTGGTTAAAGCGTTCGCTCGTCACGCCGAAGACCCGGGTTCGATTCCCGACATGGGTACAATGTGTGAAGCCCATTTCTGGTGTCCCCCCGCCGTGATATTGCTGGAATATTGCTAAAAGCGGCGTAAAACCATACTCACTCACTGTACATGCGTGTACACGTACATGTAGAACGCAATAACAGAGAGTATTGACACAGGGAACATGTACCTTTCAGGCATATTATCAACTTCTTATACACAAACACTTGGAAGGGTAACAATACATATAATAAACTCATTTTCATTTAGAACGAGGACAACAAAGACTACAACTACAAAAGTTGCTACTTCCACATTCGAAATATCAGTCAGATAAGACCCATGTTGACAAACGATGCGGCACATCAGCTCGTGAGATGACTTATCCTATCCAGGTTGGACTATGCTAACAGTCTGCTTATAAATATCAAACAGGATCTATGTAACAAATTGCAACGTGTGCAGAATGCTGCTGCCAGATTGATATGTAGACGAAATAAGCGTGCACATGTCACTCCTTTATCAAAATCATTACACTGGCTTCCAATAAGATCTAGGATTGAATACAAAGTCGTGTGCATTGCATACCAGTGCTACTAAAGTACAGCACCTTCCTATCTGAGTGAACTTCTTACCCTACACCAGCCAGCACGAGATCTCAGATCAGCACATAAACTCCAGTTTAGTGTCCCTATGGTCTCACTCAAAGCATTCGGCAACAGAACGTTTGCTCACACTACATCTGTGCTCTGGAATTCCCTTCCAGTGGAAATTACAGTAGGCAATCTCCAACTCTGGACACTTTCAAGACAAAACTAAAGACTTATCTCTTTAGATGTGTCTATGACCCTGTGTGAGGCTCTATGAGCGACTACGTAGACGGAAATGGCGCTGAAGGAATGGACTTTATTATTTATTATTATTATCTATGACTAATGTCATAATAATCCATTACATCATATCTGAAAATGGTGTAAAACAGCTTTAGCAATAATATATCTGCCCTTGAAATGAAGGCACGGACCATGGTCTGGCAGAAAGGCCGTCTGCCTGGAGAGCAGAAGATCGGTGGTTCGACCCCTGGGCCACGTCTTGCCAAAAGATGTTAAAAGATGGTGCTTGTAGATGGCATGGTACCTCAGTGGGCAAGCATTATAAAACCGGCATTCGTTCTGACGAATACAAACAGTTCTACTATACGTTCATTATAATTTTATTATTCATAAAAGAATTGTGTCTGGAACGCAACACATATAGGTACACTATTCTTTTGTGTCATGAGAAAAGATATTTCTCAATTATACACTTTTAACTCGCCACTATAGACATATAATTCATTTGTTGTGACTCTTTTTAATATTCTGGCCGCCTCCGTGGTCTAGTGGAAGAGCGGAAGGTCCGGGGTTCGATCCCCGGCCGCGTCAAAACAAAACACGTTAAAAGATGGTACTTGTTGTTTCCTTGTCTGGCGCTCGGTGTCAGTATACTGTGTCTCAGTGGGGTAGTCTTGTTAAACTGTGGCATGGTATCTCAGTGTGCTAGCACTATAAAGTCGAGGGGGCACGGGTGGCCCAGTCGTCTGAGGCGCCGCGATTCGCTGTGCAGAGTTGGGTCCCTTGGGCACGCCAGAGACCTATGATTGTGGGTTCGAATCCCGGTTCGCCCCGATTATGTTTCTAGGTTTGTCAGCACCGTACCCGTGCTCGTGGGTTTCACCGAAGTGGTAAACGTCTGAGACCTGCATCACTTCGGGCTTTCCTCCCACATTAAGCTGACACGCCGTGATATAACTGGAATACTGTTAAAAGCGGCGTTAAAAACCCAACTCACTCACTCACTCACTATAAAGTCGACAATAGTCCGGACTATTACAAGCAGCCACACACACACGTCGCTACAGAAGTGCAATAATCTTGGACGTTAAACCCAATTTCACCTCAACTCACCTTTAATATTCTTCCGCCTAGCGAAATTACCTTTGTGAATGAAGAGTGTACTATACTCAAATACAGCATTCAACATACATAATAACAATTATACATGAACAGTAGCATGCATATGTGAAATTACACTTACAGTGGAAACTCGATATAATGCACATAATCAATATGACATGTATTTCGCTATGTAGGTATACAAATAAGCTTATTATTTTTTTAAGAAATGTCCCGGGAGCGCAATATGTCAACATGGCCACAACGTTCTTAATATATTTCTTTGTTATACTTGTCATTTTTGTCAGTTTCCGTTGTTTGTTTCATACTCGGCCGCTAGGGTTCCAACTGAACTATATACTTTGGGGAATGGTGAGTGAGTGGATTGGATTTAACGCCGCTTTTAACAGTATTCCAGTTACATCACGGCGTGTCAGCTTAATGTGGGAGGAAAGCCCGAAGTGATGCAGGTCTTAGACGTTTACCACTTCGGTGAAACCCACGAGCGGCGGTATGGTGCTGACAAACCTAGAAACATAATCGGGGCGAACCGGGATTCGAACCCACAATCAGAGGTTTCCGGCGTGCCCAAGGAACTCTCTGTACAGCGAATCGCGGCGCCTTAGACGACTGGGCCACCCGTGCCTCCCTTTAGGGAATAAGGGATGGCAGGTACAAAATGATAGGAGAAGAAGAAAAATATTTTATTTACGTGTCATATATTGCACGATACGATAAATTACATAAAAAGCGAATAGTGCAATATCCGGCTGCAGGGCGTATGAGACACGAACATTCACTATTTACATTGCTTTAACAAATAAAACAGTTGAGCAATGTAACCTGCTGAAAACAGCCGGTATGGGCCGGGCTTAACATTATAGTACAGTAAACTACGGTTATAACGAACATGGTTATAACGAACTGACGGATATAACGAACTTACTTTTTGGTCCCGACTACTTGCTGTAGTCATGCTGTATATGTACTTTTAACGAACTACGGTTATAACAAACTAAAATTAGTAGTCCCTTTGAGTTCGTTATAACCGTAGTTTAATGTAATAAGTTTATCACACAGAGCGCTTGACGCCTGTCCCTAGACTAACATCTAGTCTCCTAAATGAACATATCGTACACAGACAAAAACAGTTGTTCAGTTATCTTATTAAAAATATAATAAAAGGGAGCCCAGTGACTCTTCATTCCTGATACTGCAGTAATCTAGACTTACCAAACATTATATATAGACTTGCGTGGGCTGTATTTGATATATATTTGTATCAGGGTCTGTAAGACAGACTAGCCTGTCCCTACAATAAGCCATACGGTAACTGTCCACTGATGAGCGAATTGGGTCACTGCATTCCAATGTATCCGGTAACGTAACGCGCCTAAAATGTGCGTCACAGTCAAATTTGCATACCTGAAACTTCAAAATACGAATTTATAAGAAATGAATTTCATATTGTGGTGGTTTACAAAATACGAAGGGAGAGAGAGAGAGAGAGAGAGAGAGAGAGAGAGAGAGAGAGCATTTTAGCTACAGATGTGACAGGACAGTGCACGCTTATCCCTTTCAATTTGGCATGCTTACACTCACACAAACCTATACTTCCAAGATGGATGTATATTTTCTATGAGAGTGGCAGCACTACCCTGGTCTGTTTGAGCGGCATTAACACGGAACAACTAGTTGTATACAATGTGCTGCGTGCTGCACATTGCATCGTGTGCACATGCAAGTCGAGCCAACATTTTCCGTCTTGGACGGAATAGGACAAGTTCTTCTTTCATGCCGCCGTCAAAGTTTTGTTTTTTTTACCAAGTAATTATGACATGTTTTATATGTGTATTGTTTAGGATGTTACAAAATTGACCATATCTCTTTCTTTTGAGGGATTGAGTGTTTATTGTCCAGACATTCGCGACGATTGTTCTCTAGGATTGTGGCTCTCATTTAACCGAGTAAAGTGAAGATGGGCGTCCCGTTATCTTGCAGACTGTTCTCTTTATTGGTGAAATGGCGCGCACCTAAATCCTATTCACTTTCCCAAGCATGGTTAAATATGTATGTTTGCATGTAACTGATCAACATATATTTATGATATTTGATGAGAACTTGGTTCAATGGAATGTGTCAAGGTTACCATAGTGCTTTACTATGAGTGCTGTTTTACGCCGCACTCAGCAATATTCGAGCTATATGACGACGGTCTGTAAATAATCGAGTCTGGGTGAGACAATTCAGTGATTGATATCATGAGCATCGATCAACGCAATTGGGATCAATGACATGCTTCAACCAAGTCAGCGAGCCTGTCCACCCGATCCCGATAGTCGACTTTTACGGCAAGAATGGGTTGCTGAAGACCTATTCTACCGCGGATCTTCACGGGCATGTGTGCATGTGCACGTGCAAGTATATTTGCATGTGTCAGTGTGATATATTCTCCAATAATCCACGAGGTAGGGTAGGGTGTTTATCCCCACTTTGGGTATAGTCTGTATAAAACTTTGTTAAGCTTGTCTAAGAAAACGAAAAGAAATAGTGTAAGTTAAGAAGAAGAAGAAGAAGATGAAGAAGAAGAAGAAGATGAAGAAGATGTAGAAGAAGAAAATTATTTCATTACTGTGACACGTATTGTGTACATATTATATATCATGTCTATTTATAAAACATACTTAAGCATACCGTCAGCAATTGCGTGGATCGATGCTCATGTTGTCAATCACTGGACGCAGTTGTGATACGATTACATGCATCAACCAAGTC